GATCACAAGAGGGTTTAGTATTTAACCCTTGAATGTACAATGTGCAGACATTATACCTCATTGGGTTCAACATAGCAAAATAAAGGCTTAGTCTATCAGGACTTTTCGTGGGTTCGAGGCCGAACCCTTGTTTTCTCAGATTGTTTGCGAAAGGTTAATGCACTATTACTGGGTCAATTTCGGATATGTACATAATATACAAAATAACAAGAAAGTGAAAGCGCCCCACCAAAGCCAGAGTCTGGTTTCAAGGCTATGCACTATCTCATGTCTGATAGCCATAACATCACGTGCTTGAGTCGTCATTCGCCTAATCCTCGTTCCTCAAACTGTAATAAAATAAATGAGTGTTCATTATTGTTGCTCGATTAATGTCATCTTGACCTTTGGCGAGAGTGTAATCGCGCGCGAGTTTCGTTTTTTTTTCGGGGGGGGGGGGCGGCATCAGTCGACACGATATGTCGGACTACACCGCGAGCACTCCTTGCTCCCCCATGGTCGTTGATATGTCAGCGACAAATTCATTCCCGGTGTGTTATCTATCTTCCCCTGGTCATGTTACAAGTCATGTCAGTATGTGGTAATGTGGTTTGCAGTAACATGGCAAGATGAAGACGTGGGAGAGGGGTTGGTGTGTAAAAGGGGGAGGACGGCACAGAGAATTTGACACGCTTTTATTTCTTATCTTTCAACAACAAAAAAGAGAAACGAAAACGCCGAAAAACACAAATTAACGTTTCTTTTTAAAGAAAAATAACACGAGACTAGTGTAAAATCATCGTATTATTAGTTATACTGTAACTGCTATTGAATAGTTTGGATACGCCGTGCTTTTATAACGTACTTAACAATCTCATTACCACCTTATACTTTTGTTGTTGTTGTTCACGATTCGACTGATTGCACGACAGGTGACTCTGTTTTCGAAACAATACTTTATGGAATACAAACAGAGATTTATTTACTCGTTCATGGAGAAAAAGAACACTAAAAATCGGGAAGCCTCTCCATCAACAAATCCGGGTCCATCAGAACCCCCATTTGGCGCCGTTCGCGCTCTCGGATTTCGCTTCACGTCAGAATGCTATCTGTTTGTTTCCCGCCATTAAGCCATCTGCAGACGACAGCGTGTTGTATAAACGACGAGTCGGAGGGGAGAGTTCAGGGCGCTATCGCGTTAATGTCGTGCCCTGTCTCACCCCGAGATGCCTTCTGCATTCCTCCGATAGCATGCTCGCAGACAGCCATGTGATAGCTCATCCCCGTAACGAAGGAGTCCAATCTCACCCTTTTTTCTTTAGTCTGTCTGTACAGGCTTCATCCAAAGCATAAGACACATTTATTCAAAATGCTTTTGATGCTTAACTTACTCTGTTCACATTGATGTATATTTCATATGTATTGTAATTTGTAGGTTTATTTGCATTTTATTTTTGTTTTGTTTAATATGTAATTGTTTTTCATTGTATTTTGTTTGTTATAGCGCTTAGAGACTTTGGTAAGCGCTTTATAAGCACCGTTTTTATTATTATTTGTTATTATTTATAAGCTCTCTTTCCTTCCTTCGAGGTTCAATTTTCGTTTATTTCCACATACATGATTTCTTCATCTTCTCTTTTATTTTGATAAAACAAAACGAATTCATTGACTTTTCGATATGACGTACTTTAAATCAGGCCCAAAACTACATTATACAGGGTTTTCAGTTATAACGTCTTATACAAGGTAATCTAAATTATCTAGGCATAGAAAGAAAAAAATACATAGGCGGAAGACTCTACAAAGTACCCCTCCCCCTCCAGTGTAGTCATTTCTGTGCATTTGTTACTGTAACGACCGTACTTTAAAATAAATGATATTAATCGATTTAAAACGCATTTTGATATTTTCAGTACATGTAGCGCCTCTTGTATCGTCCGAACATCCCCTCAGCCAGTTTCAACAATGTTTTTTCCCCTTCAATAAAATTTTCTAGGTTTTTATGCAAATAGAATGCACCTAAAGTTCATTAGCTGAGAAAATTAAAGCAATTCAAATTTTCTGATATCTTTTTCAACCACTGCAATAAAGTAATTTCTAAAAGTTTATATGAATCGGAAACCCCCTTAATTTGGCTTTTAATTTTGGCCACTGATTTAGCTAGATTGACGACTGCCTTTGTTAAAGGGATCGTTTAACATTGTTAAATCTGAGATACACGGCCCTACGTGTTATTAGTGTCTGTGATATGGTGTAATATTGAAGCCCTAAAAAATTTGCGCTTCAAAATGATCAAGAAGTGCCTCAAAAAAAGTAAAAATCTTTGAGTGACCGGTTTTACCATACTCGTTTCCCCAATAGACTGTAGTGTACAAGTTTATAATTATCATTGCATCATGAGCTAAATCCAGAATTTTGTTTCAGAATCTGAGACAAAGTTACCGGATCCCTTTAAATCATAAACAGTACATTTACACTACCGATAAAGTAAACATCAAACCAACGGCATCAGTCCTTGGAGTTGGTGGGGCAAGGGAGTGAACATGCCCCTTATTTTTTTGTAAAAACAATGCTCCATTGTTAACTTCTGTTTTCTACCATTTTGGGTTTAATGATTAGATATTGGTGGTTTTCCAGATTATTCGAGAGGGGGGGGGGGGGTCGGGGGGTCGGAGGGCGGACGCTGGCCTCACTCTATAATACTGGATACACCATCCTATCGAATAATACTACTTAATGCATGATTAATATTTCTGAAACAAACAAGTAGTACAATGAACCTGGACAGAAGGGGATACTTTTACCTCGCCCTTGTCAGCAAGTGTTCCCTTTCTGCCCCTCTGCATATATACAGCTCTTATCTATTTCACTTTGTAATGAAGAAAGCAGATCCTCCTTTTCTACGAAAGTGCATTATCTATGCACCCCAGTAGGCCACTAAATAATTGCTGATCGTGGGATCTTCCACTTATGACATTGATTCCCACTCTGCTATAGGTAAGTTTTGTTCTCCCAATTTCTTTGCCATTTGGTGTTAACTTGAAAATGCTTTTTTTGTGTGGGGGGGGGGGGGGAAGTTCTCATGACAATATTTTGAAAAATCGGTGGCTTATAGTGAACTTTTCATGAACTATTCCGTATTACCTTTAAATATCGCATTTTCTTCGTCTCCTGCATCAAAAACTAGAGATGATCTGCAGTGCCTTTTCGATTGGTCTCGAATCAAATGTAATTGAGCAATTAATTCAAGAAAAATTGTGAGATATCATGACGGATATAACAGCCCAAGTCCAGGATGAAGATCCCTGATAACAGTCGGAAGGTTTCGTTGTAATGGAAAACGAATCTCCTAAATAAGGTTTGTCTCTGGGCACAGACTCGTTCTGATTGGCTATTAGCCACAGGAAATAGAAACGTTTAGACAGTCGGAAACCAAGAATATGAGCCAAGTTTTTACAAAAGTCATGCCCAAACATCTTTTTTTCAACGAAATAAGTAGGAAGGAGTAGATGTTACTTCATAAGCTAGAAAAAAAAAACTCCGGGAGATCATGATAAAAGATTTCTGATCAAATGTTTTCTTTCTCGTAGAAATGACTTTCTTTGTGCTAATGATTTGGTGCCCATACGTTTTTGCAATAGTTTTTTCTCTTTGCAAAAGCTTATATCTACCTATTACTAAAGGATTTCAACAAAATATAATAACAGATCATGAAAACCCCAGATTATCTACCAGATCATCGCTAATTATTACCAAGTTTTGCCGTATAAGACACAACGATCAAATGGATAACTGTTTTGATAGGTCTTAATTAGAAAAACTATAAAAAGGTATAGTTTTAGAATAGTATTTACCTAAATAACTAAAATTTAAAAAAAATATCGAGAAAAGACATCAGGTATTATGACTATAATGGAGGAAGGTGAAATTACGGATTGATACGAAGAAATCCAGTGGTATTCAAAAGGTTATACTCAATCGTGGGAATTACGTGAGGATTTTCAGAAGGGAGTATTTCGTTCAGAAAAAAGAATCAGTTCTTTTTTCTAAATCCACAATTTTATCATTGCTGTATCCAACTGTGCACATGACTATTTCCGTAATTGTTTGGGTCTTGCTTATTACATTCAAATATATTCATCTTCTTAAGCACATCGTATGTTTTTTTAAAACAGGATTTCCAACTGGATTCCCAAAGAATTTTTTTAAAGGGTAAGCAGGCTTTATCTAGATTATTATCAGCTGGATTGAGAAAGGTTCACCTTTCGCTCAACTGGGAAATTTAATTCATTTCCAATGTGAATGAAAAAGGAATTGATGAGAAGGGCATAACCTATTTTCTGCAATGCTGATAGTATGTGGATAAACTGTGTCGATTTGTCTACTCTTCTCCTTAGGTACTGACACATGCAGACAAATTCTCCAATATTAGATATAATGCAAATATTTCTCTTCTCTACCATTGGTGCTTTCTTCAGAATTGTATCGTGTATTTTATTATATGTAATAGAATCTGTTCATCTAAGTTCTGTCATATTTATTGTATAATTATTGTGGTTGATATTTTTATGTATGTCTTATTCTGAAGTATATAATATTCATTTGTACATGTATTCAAATATGTTATTCAGAGATTGATTTCCAATAAAAAATTGGGGGAAAAATATTTATTGTAAAAAATCAGTATAAATTGATTGTTTAATTCTCTACTTTCACCAACTTTGTTCACTTTTTATTCCCCCACCTTTCTCTCTCCCTCTCTCTTTCTCACACAAATCCTTTCAAGGCAAATCTTTTTAACATGTTTAATCGTCTTCGCTTTCTTTTCTTCACATTTACACTCCATTTTCTTCATAGATATGTCCCGCGTTCACACAGCTCGTCTACAATTCCAATGTACACACTAATACACACGCACACATGCAGAGGGGGCACTCACACACATTTCATTTATCATTCTCAATTCTTGACCAATCCCCGGTAACGACACAGGAACAATAGAAAGAATACACAAAATATTATTCGTTCATGTACAAATACAGAGATATTTTTTCTCACTTTTTCAACATTTTTTTTACGTCGACAACGTCGTGTCTTGGACACAAGACATTTCAAAAAGACAAGACTACGCACTAGATTAACACTCAGGCTACGATTAAATTGGCAGATAACTAGCATAGCCGATAGCGTGATCAAGGACTATGGTATCTGTGAAGAAGCTACAATGAATGGAAAAAAGATGAAATAGGAATAACATAATCCAGGTGGGACCAAATCAAAACTTGAAAAATAGTACAGAAAATAATGCCAGTACAGCAATGTATATTTGCTTCTCGATGGTGGGTGTAAAGCTATTAACATCTGGACAAAGAGCCATCACATAAACATTTGTAACAACTAGAATCGCCCATGTGTCTTTATATGTCGTTAATCTAAATAGTTTGGATAGAAACCAACTTTCATTTTAACTGCACACATCTGTGCAAATAACTTCCAATGCCGAGTTAGCACATTGGCCGCTTATTTAATTTTTACCACTTTTATTTTAAAATGTTGACAGTCGAATTCTGGAAATCACAAAAGAGAATTTATTCACACCAATCACTAAAAAGGAATTCACGAGATCAAAGCATAAAGCAAGAAATTTAAGTACAAATACCATAAATGTGTGAATTGTGAAAATAACGAAATACATTTGTTTTTCTGCTTTTATACACAAATTTGCAAGAAATGGCATGAATGCTATGAAATTACCAGCTGCAGGATAAGAATACTAAAAAAAAAGAAATAATAAAAGAATGGTATGATGAAACAGAATAATAAAATATGTTAGACCAATTATAACAAGGACGGTTCCGTATACTGTTTAATTTGTATAATACAGTACTCTTTTTGCCATAATAATAAGATTTCCCACGAAATAATTATTCAGTCATTCACATGACAAACTAAAAAAATATTTTCAGTGTTCGTGCTTTAAAATGTTACAAAAAAGTGTAAATACGGTGAGAAGCCAGCCTTAAAATAAATATTTTATTGATTTGGGTTATTGAAGAAAAACAAAACGAATTAGAATTCATCTCTACAGGGTCTATATTATAAAATTCTTTTTAAAAAGTCCTTTGCAACAACATTTCAGTGAAATTAATGAATACCATGCATGCTTATAGTTTATTCAATACATTCCAATACTTCTGTTAGATGATAATCAACGGGAAGTTGAATTTAGGAATTCCTACTTCAAAAGATTTCATCACAACATGAAGTTTAAACATTAAAGTTTAAAGCGTTACATTAAAAACAAAGTGGCACTTTAATTTTTATCAGGCATTTACGATTTGGCAAGTACTGAGCAAAATTAGCCACAAGTGGAATAGCAATGTTTAGATTTCTAATTACATATATCGATAACTACTAAAAATGCACAACTAATACAGAATAAAGAGACTTTTTATTTTTGAAAACTGTTACAATACAACAAAACAGTCAGATGCACTGTATATAACCAGAAGGATTTGGAGATTTTAATATATAATATAATATATAACACATTTTAGGCTAAAAAATGTTATTTCATTTGGTGGTGAAAATAAGGATTTCCGATATCTGACTTTAACGGTCCATGGGTAATACTTTACATTTTTAAAAGGGTAATCCATTTTAACTGTACCTGGTACACAAAAGTCTAAAATATGCATTTGGTTTTGATTCATAAACGAAAACAATGCAATGTGATTGTGCGTACATATCGACCAGTATTCTACCAAACTTTTAACCCGACACCGGGTTTAGGATTTAGGATCCTACAGAGGAATGTAGTCTGCCGTATAAGTTTATCATTCTTAAACATGATATTAGACCCCGGGTCGCGGTTAACTGAACTACATGTAGTAGCATTCGAGAATTTGAGATGTCTATTACTGATGTCTGTTCCTGCATATTCACTGTTCTTCTAGTGTAGAAAGAACAAAAGTTTCAGAGCAATGAAAGCACGTTAAAAAAAAATTCGAAAGTCTAAAATACAGACACTATCAGAGTGGAATAGATTTCCAGGAACACAACAAACATTGCACTCATAGCACAATGCAAATTATGAGAAAGAACACCCACAATTTTAAACATTATATTGACATTTGATGTGACATATTTATTCTTTGGCAGTCACATGTATTGTGAAAATGGGTCTGAAGTTTTTTGGCAAATTCACACTGAATCTGAATATCGATTCAGATTTGTTTTCAGGCTGAACAGAAAATGGCAGCAAAAATTTTGCGGATGTTTGAACGATTCTGTTATAATTGCATGATGTACATTTTATATATAGATAGATAGTACTTCAAACAAACTTTGAGTATCTTAAGTATTTCAATTTGTCTAATATATTTCAGTACACACAAAAGTGACAATAATTGTCTATTTACAAGTTACAAATAAGTAACTCAACTTTGAGTTACAATTTTTATGTGAATAATTATATAGCAAATGTATACGATTATCTATTTATATAAAATGACACTAGATATACTGAAAAAGCAACTTCTTTTCGCATCACGCATACTGGAGCTTCAAGCTTAAAATACAAAAATCACACTGCAGCATTGTGGGATACACGCTCTCTTACAAAATCTAGCGCCCTCTTTTCGATACAAAACTATGTTTCAATCACCTGGGGACCTGGACAACTTTGTTTTCTTGTGTTCATATGAAGTCGGTGCTCAATGACAAAGTCTTTCCCTTTTAGTTGACCTTGTTTTATTTTACTTCCTCAGAGGAAAGAGAGGTGGATGAAACACATAATAAGGACAGTACGAATGAAACTATGATAAGATGACAATAACCACTATCGTAATCTCTTACTATATTGAAGGCCAAAATTATTTGTAAATACTTTTTTTAGTCATTATTTCCCTCGGAATACAAACATAGTTCAAGACTCAATTTCCATTTTATTTTAATTTTGATTTTAAACAAGAAGGGCAGTAATATTAAAAAGATATGGAAGTGATGTCTTCACCTTCAACCACCTTAATTACTTTCATAAAATGCGAAGGGCTTGGTAATGCTTGGGATAAATGAATAGGGTGGGACTATACACAGCATTGGTAATACAAGGTATTGGGTGATCGAGAAATAAAAACAAAAGATGCATATTCAAAACTAACAAAGGTCTTCAAAATATAACAGTTGTTGTTGTAAACAAATAACATTGTTTCTTCAAAAAAGGTATTCGAAAAGATCCTTTTGACTGTTCATGAAGAGTTTGTAGACATCATTTCAAATGAAATGTTGATGAATCACTTTAGTTCTAGGTGTTATCAAATGATTTCGATAAACGTCTTCAACTGCACGTAAACTTTATTCTAAACTCCGATTGTAACATGGTCTTGAAATTTCGGATATAAAGCAATTAAGTCAACGTTTAATAATGCATCAAACGAATTCAAAATGATATTTTATGTTTCTCCATCCGTAAAACTTTTCCCAAAGGCGATCATAAAATTAACACGAGCTTCAGTTCATAATAGGACTTTTAATAACAAAATAATAGCACTAGAAACTATCGACTTTACGAATACTTGCGGTGAGATGTTCCGTCTACGTCAGACTCTAAAACAACACCGGTTTGGAACCAGTAAACATAGAAATGATAGAATATAATCAAACGTATCACTAGTTATACAAACAATTAAAACACGAAGTACGTACTGAAATACACAATGTCAATTACCCTAACAAGTACCAAGAATTCTGGTTTGCACAATGAATCTATGGGAACTTCAGCATAATTATAATCTTCTGTCATACATATGCCTTCTGTTTTATGGAATGCTGCAACACCTTAGATCACTTAGAAGACAATGACAACCAGCTTTGAACAACCAATGGCCCTTCTAATTCTTGTTTTTCATAATGCTATCTCCTTTTTGGATGGAAGGCTACATGCCTTAGTTTTACTTCCAGAGTTTTGTCTTGTGATATTGGAGTAGGTCTTGTCTGTCAAATACAGAATACGATTGACTTTGAGTCTAAATATTCATCAAAATAGCCATCCTCTTCCAGTGTTTATAAATCAAAGGGTTATTTCATGAATTTAGGCTATGGGTAAAAATCAATGATCTGAAGTAATTGACAGATATCCGTTGATGTTGGAATACGGTACGACGCCCTCTCAGTCACCAAAATAATTTGAGTTTTTACAATGACAGATAAAACGAATTCGATGAAACATTGACATTTGAAAGAGTTTAAAGGAATATCATTTTCGGTTAAGACCAGAGTGGAGCCTCTTGTGAAACAAGTGCGGTGAGAAAAAAACCTTCTTGCAATTCTGAACGGTCAGAAGAAAAAAAAGAAGTTGGAGACAATATTGAGGCTAAATGGAAATGGTTAAGATTATTGGGTACTGACCCTTTTAAAGGAGCTCTGTATAATGGAATGCACTTTTAACAAAGGGAACCCCCCCCCCAATTTTTTTAGATGGTAGGTTCGTGGTGGTGTCATCATTAGCTGACTAGCAGAAGATATTCCCCATTGTTAAGGACGACGACGTGGTATCCCCTAGTGGCAGTTCCTGGGGTATTGTACCAAAATCCGATCAATGTAGTTCCGAAAAACTTCAGTATCTAGACTTGCTTCCACAGTTAGCCATCCAGTCCTATCCTCCAGAAGTAAGTATGGCTAATGGTTACAAGACTCCAATTTTCAGGGATAATAACGTAGCACCACAACCACAACATCTTTTTATCCCCATTTCATTTCTAGGTTATCCCTCTCCATCTCTATGCAGTCTTTGTTCAGTACTGTCTTCTTATCAAAAGAAGAATGAAATTCGTACTGGAAAGTATCGCCCTGGTCAGCGACTACAATTCAGTATGCCCATTGCATATTTTTACTCAAGCTTTATCCACTGATCTTGTCTCCCTGTCACATTGTTCATAATTGACCTTATTTTTTGGCATTGATAGACATATTTATCTCTATAACATAAAACTGCATTTTGCTGGTCCCCGGACCTGCCTCAACATCTCACTGTCATTGCATTGTCATGTAGGGCCAGCTGAAGGAACTTCCAGAGAGCAGCATATCGCGAATGAGAGTCTCAATGGGGGTCTTGCCCACCAGCCGAACGAAGAATAATTGTTCGATTACGTGCGACGAGACGGTTCGGAGCGAAGGAAGCCGGAGAAGAAGTTTGCCGAATCGGTTGGGCTGGTTAGGATACTGACTGCGGACGTATTCCTCAAGGGCGCACTGGGACTTCTCTTGGAGAGCCTCGATGTGGGCCGCATCGGACAAACCACATGCATCTGTGAGTAGAGAAATAAAAAAGGAAAAAATTGGGTTAGATTTGAAAAATGACAACACATTGATAATGCTATTATTTTCATTAAAAGGCACAGTGGATTCAGGTCGAATGGGGATACAATTGGGAACAAATATTTCAAAACCAAAAAAAGAGGGTATGCCAATTGTGTTTTAAAGGTGGGGCAGTGATACGGGCACAAATATAATATAATTGTATGTGTTTGTCGACACTCACATCGGTTGATTTTCCCATACCGTATGAATTGTTGGATAAGGCAATCAACAAAGAATTTCTTTTTTGAATAAAACAAAATTGGTTACGTTGGCAATAACAATGACGTAGGAATTCCTGTTTTACCACCACCCAAATGCACGACACACAATGTATCCCAGAGTATATGTTAAGCTTGGGATTATAAAAGTAATCAAGCAAAACGCTCGAACCAAACAGCATCAATAGTGGCACGGATAATGGTGTTATTTATCATTCGGCACTTGACATTCAATATGTAATTCTATAGAATAAACTATAAAGCCAAGGTATCATGGCACTGTTTGGAAGCCATTATAGTAATAGGGAATTAATAGAAATCCATACATATGGGAGAGAGAGAGAGAGAGAGGGGGAGGGGGGGGGGGGCAGAGAGTTTAAGAGAGGGAAATATATATCCATGTATATAACAAATAGAGAGAGTGAGAAAGAATCAGATTCTTAGATTATTATAGTAACATAAATATGTATAAAATGAAAGGCCTATATAATGTCTGGTTGAAAAGTATAGCATAGAGATGGAAAAATACGGAGCGAGAATGAGAGAGAGCATGAGAGAGAAAGAGAGGGAGAGCATGAGAGAGAGAGAGAGAGAAAGAGAATGAGAGGGAGGGAGAGAGAGAAAGAGATCAAGTGGGCTAGGGTATATGTGCGTGTGTATGTTAGTGTTTTAAGGGAGAAATAAAAATATAAAACTGTTCATGTAACATAGAAAAGGTAAATATAAATATATATTTCACAAGAGTAGTGATAACAGAGAGGCGGAGAATGGGGGGGGGGGGGGCACAAACACATCGAGGAGAGCAGGCAGAGATGTGGGGGTGGGATAGGAGCGGAGAGAATGGAAATTGGCGCATTAGCGACGAAATACATGTATATCCATCTCTACAATACCATCGCTGAATACACAATGGGAGCCTAGTGATATTACGGGTGATCCTCCCTATCTGATGGAATTAAAAGGTTACGAGGGGCGTGCTGGCTGGCGGTGGAAAAGTGCAGCAAAGGGTACTGCTCTGGTCTTTGACCCTCGCCCGATAATGTACGCTCAAGTGTTTGCTTTTCAGAAAATTACGATTCATATTTTGTTCTCTTCTCTTTAATAAGAGAACCTCGATGCAGAACAAACAGGGCTTGGTTAAATACGTCTCGTCGTTGTTGTGTATTTTAGACCATTCTGTTTGCACGTATTCGAATAAAGAGAGAGAGAGAGCCGCATTTAATCGAGTAGTGCATAATGTTGTACACTGCGACAACAATAATCCATGCATGATTTCAGACTACATAGTATATTAATCCGTAGCACTTATGCGTTTATTCGTTTCATTTTAGAAACTGCTCCCAGGGCACAGGGCACCAGGGCAGTGTTTTGGTACTTATTGCCAGAATATCAGCCACTTGTTAAAAATAGAATCAATAATATTATAGTAAGGAAGAAGCATTGTCATATAAAGGAAAGAAGGAAAGCTATAAATTAGGAGGACAAAATAGGAGGACATCTTACGATCTCAATGCCAGACATTACATTTTTTGCTTAATTCGGCCCTCGCAGCACTCGAGTTTAAACCAAAACAAATAAATTCATCCATCTCGCAACTATAGGTAGTTGACTCCAACTCCAATATTAGTATTACTTCCGATATCATTATCACAGGATATGACAATACACTCACTTATATGTGTATTTGCTTCGGTATCAGTCTGTGTTAGACTGCTTGTGTCAAAACCATGATATATTTACAACTCACATCAACACCACATACAATAATTACAAGCCTGAGAGTGAGATTAACATCCAAGTGGAAGTAACACGGAAGATAAATCTGCAATAATAATGCAAAAATAGCTTTTAAAGTCGTGTTTTATATACCCTTTTAACTACCGACTGGGGAATATTTAACACTTATCGAAAGCATGCAGATTATTGGGTATTGATATGCTGATGGACTCCCAATATCCCCCTTCTTAATGGAAGACTTTGAAACATGGAGGAGGATTATGTGAAATTACACGCCGCTTTTTTAACATTTTTTTTTACTAATTTCATTACTCAAAATATTTGTAGACTGAAGCAAGAAACTGAGAGAATGAAGAGACCGTCCAATTCACCACAATTCATGTTTCTAGGCAGTTGTTGATGTACTTAAAACCAAATTTCTGGATGTTTATGGATTGGAATTGAAAAACGTTTTACACCCGGGTGTACGCTGTACAGTATGTGTAGTTCTAAAGATAAAGTTACTCGTCTCTAATTATCTTTGTATGGCTTTATAAAATAATCTAGCTAGATATTATAATGTATGATTTCATTGTTCACATTGCTGCGGCCATACATAACATTTGATGCGCTTCGCTTTTCTAAACGTAGATAATGCAATTGGCTACCTAGAATGCTGCGAGTATATATGGGTTGCAGCCCGCTTGTCTTGATTTATTCTCCTGTCCTCAGTTTGCACAAATGTATTCGTCAATGTTTGTAACATTAAGCTCTTGAGTCGTGACCAAACCTTGAACACGTCTGACCTTGAAGCTCGCTCAAGATCTTCGTCAACACACCGTCAACCGGGGACCTCTTTTTATTTTAAAGATACAATTGAGTTTCGGTCATGCGATTGCATTGTAAAAGAAACTATGGGCAACGGGGGAAAGGTTGATTTTGTAGCACATAAGAATTCGTGTATACTGTGAGACTATGATAAGATATCGACTCAGTCTTGTTAAAAGCCACATGCACCCCAAGCAGATACAATCATGTATATGTATGGGACTACATACACACGTGGCATGGAAGTTTAGAACAAACATGTCCGATATTTATTGTCATGTGGGGACATTTGAAGAGCCATTCTTTTCAGGGGACATTTTTCACCTTTACCGACAACTCAATCTTATCTTTAACGCCAATAATTTATGTTAGTCTGCCCTCCCGTCTTCTTGAGCCGTTGTTTTCATTAAAGTCTTCAAAACGTTGGAATGGAAAATCGTGAAGAGAGACCAAAGGGATACTTTCACATTGCAATTAGAAACTTGTCTTTCACATCGCTCTTTTGCTCTACTTCCATTTGAAGGTATAGTCGTGACTGTCTCGAATTAAATCGCAATGACAGAATTCTCACCAAAATAAAATATGATTTATCTAACACTATCATGCAAGAAAAAAAATTAAGAATTAAATGATATTTGCCAAAATAGAAAAATGTATATAAGCTGATAAAGAGCTTGGGCTACTAAAGTCTACCAAACCGATATAGTTAATCACAGAACGCGCAATTGCCCTCTGATCGAACTTATAACCCTTTCTATGAATATTGATTTTAACCTTTTTTAACAATGTTTGGTATCAATATTTCGTATCAATGTTTCTAGGAAAAGCAGCCCTTTACGATGTGAACCTCTGGGACCACACAACATTCCTAAAGTGTTTCAGGGGTTTTATTCATACAGTATACACCATGTCACACTCTGATTGCAGCAGTAGCCTGTCACATGATGGTAATATCACCGGCAACTATTTGAACACGGTGAAATATGTAGGTTGATGTGGAATTATAATTTTCCCTTCTTGTCGGCGAGCTCTGAAACTGAAAGAGCCGCCCCCGTCCGCTCCCCCTTCTCTCTCGAGTTTCTGTTTACCGATTCTCAGTCAGCGCTCCGTAGCGGGCAAGAAGTGCAGTCACATCCTACCCTTGCACGATAAGAAAGCCGATCCTGGTCGCCCGTGTTTACCGACCGTGGCCCTGGCTGAGGTCTCGAGCAGCGCAGAGTCACGTCGAACACCGCAAATTCGACTTCTAAATCTCGCGCTCATTTAGCCCCCTTAAACCTTTCTGCTTGCAAGCATGGGGCAATGATCAAAACAAGGTTGATCGGGCATTTTTCCTCCTTAAAAAACAGGCAGACTCTTTAGTAAGACTGGGTAAATGAGTTTTGGCTGCACTTTTCTCTCCCCCGGTCGAGTTCGTGCTCGTTGAATTGGCAGATTCGCGTGGAACGGACGGCGAAGTGGACGTGAAATAGGATTGGGTTCGGCGCAAATTTCAAGGTTTGTATTTCTGTTAGGTATCTGGGTTCTACACACTGCAATCTAAGAGCTCGTTTCCGTGTCTTGATTGATCGTAATTAAGCACGGAATAAGACCTGCAGGGACATCGTCTGCACTTCGGGTTTTTGTCTAACTTTATTGGCGGGAACCAAAGGCCGAAGTCGTGTCTTCTGCCTTCCATGGCACATTACACCCATTTCTTGTCATCTTTAGGTAATGACGGTTCATATCTTGCTTTGCAAACTCGAACTCGAGGGAGCTGTAATTAAAAGTCATGCAATAAAGCCAGACGCGTTTAGTTGAAGCATAGCCAACCTCGAGAGAACTGACTGAGCTAAGAGTTAAATGCGAACTAACGCCCACCTGACGTAAACATAAAAAGCGAACATAGAGGTAAAATGAAATAGGAGAATAGGGGATGAGACAATGTTCAGTGCCATTTTTCATAGACGGTATGTTCTGAGGAAAATGATTATGACCAAAAATATTGGTCATTTACCTTCGTTGTATGTCTATATGATTTGTGGAGAGAAAATGGATTGGGGTATTTTATTACAAGTGATCTAGGATGTGTCTGTATAAATTTGATCAATGAAACAGCACAAGATTTCAGATTGAACTTTTTTGTACATAGTTGTTGGTAGTCACTACATTAACACCCTATCATAATCACGATTTTACTTTACAAC